TCTGGCCATCACCAGTAGGTGGTAGGTGAAGTGACTTGCCCAAGGACACAACGACCGAGACTGTCCGAGCCGGGGCTCGAACCGGCAACCTTCTGATTACAAGACGAACTGCCAACTCTTGAGCCACGATCGCCCTAAATAACATTATTTGATGTAAAAAAAAGTCTATAAGAATCATTTTATATACTTTTCCATAGCATTACATTTGAATTTAACAGTTCAATCTTTCAAATAACGGACAGATGTTTGTGAAATTATGATACATTTGTGAATGTATTTTAACAATCTGAATATGCATATGTACAGACAAATATATTTAAAAAACAAGAAAATTATGTTTTATTACATTTACAGTGATTTTATGTTATTTTACATTTGAAATGTAAAATCACAGTCTATTTATGTAAATTTAATGATATTCTAGAAAAACAGTACAAAACTGTAAAATACACTGTAAAATACTTTTATATTACAATATTTTTTTTTACAGTGTATGCTTCAAGATGAGTACAAAATTGATAGCAACACTATATGAATAGCCCTGCATGTAGATCAAAGGCTTCCAGAAGCGAGAATAATGACTAATTAACTTCCAGAAACTGCTACTGTGAGCCCCTGTCTAAATGAATGGAGCCTGAAAGTGGTTCTACCTGCCTCTAACTAACCTGTAACAGTAACTAACCCAACCAGTGGGATTACATGTTTGTGTGCAGCCGAGTTAAACCCTTTGTCTTTCAGAGGAATTGGAGGGACATTTGCGATCTCTGCCATGACAGAATTCTTCCATGAATCTCTATTCATTCATTCATGGATCTCTGTTTTTCTGACTGCTACTTAAGTCTTTTGTACATTAGAATCAATATATATTTCAAGTCATTAGTAGAAATAGTAATTTACCCATACCTAGCTGCAGCACCTTATTCGAACTCACATAAGACTAACCGAGAGAGAGGAAAATAGCACCAGCCCTAAAAGATTGTGTATGAGCAGCAAAGAGAACAGCGTACTGCATCACTCAGTGCAAGTGTTAAAACAGCTAATATGCAAACATAGAGCAGTCCCGAGCACACGGAGCCACACTCTCATACACCACTCACACATCACACACACAAGCGCACCCGTACGTGTGCGCGTACACGAGTGCACATTCCAGTGCAAGCATTTTACAAGCAATGAGACAAAAATGTCAGCCTCAGTCACGAGCACAGGCCGTGCTGAATGTGGCAGTAACAAAACACGAACCAAGTTACGCAATGTTAGAAGAGTCACATAAACAACATGAGGCTCAAAGGTTCAAGGAATATTGCATACTGCATTCAGAAAAGACTATGTGAACCAGGGCCAGTGCTTTGTGTCCATCTGAGAGCAGGAGAATGAGAAGGAGCGTGACTTTGTCTGTGTCGGCGACAATGTGCGAGTGTGTGAGTGAGCGAGTGAGTGAATGAGTGTGTGCTGAACGAGCAAATGTATTGTGCTTCACGCCATCTCTCCATCGTTGCCTTAGTGTCTCCCCCGGACAGACAAGCGCAGTGATATCTGCCATCACCGAGATAAGGTGGAATGTGGAATGACAGGAATTTCAAACCTACATAACAAACAATGAAATTCTAATTACCAGCCAGCGCAAACAATTTTCCCTGCTGTGACATTTGGACCGCGGGACTGTTCAATTATTCATCAGCACTCTTGCCTCACTGCAAAAAAGAAAAAAAAAAGAAAAAGAGAAAGGAAAAAAAATTAAAAGAGCCAGAGTGGAAGGCAGCCGAGGGCCTGATATATTAATGCTGGTTTAAAACCTGTGTTGGGACAAATCTGAATAATCATCTATTCATGCTAAGGCCTGTTTCGTATTCAGCGTGGAAATAAAACAACACTGACCCTGTATTCTGCTTCCTGTGAAATGTCAGAGGCAAGGGGCGACACCTCGGAGAGTTTAGCAGTGAATTGTTCTCGCTCGGGGTATAAATACACTTCTGAGATCAGACGAAGATGTTCTCGTGCAGAGGCGTAACTGAGGATCTCCTTGTAATGAAAGTCTCATTTTAGTTCAAAGCCGAACAAATGCTCTGCCAATCAACTGCACGCAGGCATGGCTCAGAATCTTCCTCCTTGTTTAAGGACGCCAGAGAAAGCCCAAAACAACGGCGTTTCAAAAACATTCCGCCTTGTCTCCTGAGTCACCTTGGATCTGTTTGGCTGAACAAAACCATTTTTTACGACTTTACTTACACAAATTGATGTTTCATAGCAAACCATTTGTCATTTCAAACACACACCGGGAAAAACAAAAGCCTTCTGAA